GAACTGGATGCTTCATTGTTTTTAACACTGCTGCTGGAAATAACACTTTTCTCCGAGAGTTCACTGTCTCCTCCTCCGAGCAGATATCCCTTTCCACTAAAAGGGATCAAATTTTGTGCATCACCCACGTGCATCTTGCCTGCAAAATAAGAAAAGTTAGTAACTTTTTCATACATAAACCATGGGCTCAGTATTTTGTGCTTTCTCTGAAAGATCTGCTGTTTGAAAACAGCGTAGCAAAATAAACCCTTTGCAAACAGTTAAGCCAAAAAGAAGCCTAGAAAAACACAAATAAAAAGGGGTCACGTTCTTTGTTATATTATAGTAATATCTAATACAAGGCTCATGCAGTGGTTGATCAATATTTGTTCAAGGAAATTTTGGACAAGAACAGCTTGGAAAAGAAGAACTATGTCGAATACCTTTGTCAGTTGACTTGGAATTTGACAGTTTTGCTGGCTGGGTTTTCTCTTTGGCTTTCTTGGAAAAGTTTTCTGGTTCCTTCACTTTTGTAAATGTACCTCCACATGTCTCTTGATGCTCCACCCACCAAAAGTCTCGTGCAGAGGGTGCTCTGTTCATCGAACGTTTCACATATCCAAAATAAGGTTTTCTGTATTGACAGGGGCCGTTGCATCGCCACCAATGCTGGCGATATAAATCCACTTCATCATGAAAATTATGATAAATCTAAGTTAAAAAAGAAAAAAGCCAGTAATTCAGAAAATGTATAATTTTATAAGTCAGGAGATTAATCACTAGCTCCACATTTCTTTAAAATGTAATAGTGCTCCATTCCTTTGTAATACAAGCTAAAGTCCTCCTGCATGCCAGGAAGGAAAAAAAGTGTCCGTCTGGTGATAAACTGACACACTACAAAAAGCCCTTCTCAAAGTGTCATCTTCCTCCCAAAATAAACATGATTTATTATAGTAACAAACCTGAAGTCTGATAAATGGTCTGTAATGTGAGAAGCACTTGCATTGTTCCAAAGCTTATCCCCCTCCTGGACAATTGTTTTTTCTACCACTACTGTGAGAAATAGCTTCTCCATCTCTCCACCATCCTGTTTTTAATCTCTTCATGACTTTCACGTTATGTGCTATTTAGAATGCACTGTAGACAATATAAGGATTTTGAAAATCAAACTGAAAGAGCAGTATAACAGCATAACAAAATAAATTCTCACTTCATCATCTTAATTGATCGTCAGAGACATGAATTTTAAATGCCATGTTCAATCACCCATTAGCTCCTATTGAGACAAATCTTAACTGAAACAGATTATTCTGAACTTCTGTACTTCAAGTTTAAAACAAACTTGAAAGGAAAATACTTTCAGAAGGTGTATATGATAATTACATGAGTCTAACAACCCTCCACATCTTCCTCAACACGTTCCCTTCACCATCACCAACAAAATAACTACTGAACTGGCAAGCAGTCCAATGTAAATTTGTATTGGTGTCTACTAAGAAATACAGGTGTATTAATCATACCACATTTGGACTATTCAAACACATGGTACTAAAACAGGGAAAAAGTTGTATTACACAACATTAAGTGGATTGTGCTTACCGTGACATTGGCTCCAGTTAAGCGATTAATGCGACGCATGTGTTTGCGGAACTCTGGCCCATGAGATTCACGATCTTTGTCATTATTAGTAACAAACAGCAGGGCATGGATCATTTCATGTAACAGTGTCTGAAACAAGGCTAATCATCAGCTATTTACGGAAAGGCATTGCATACAATTTCTAAATTAAGCTGCAAGCACTTTTTAATTTATGCTACTCTACATTAATCTTGGTACTCTTTGCGTGGTACCTTACTCTCACGCGTACACTTGTTCAATCTCGGTTATAAAAACATAACGCTTATTCTACCTGCCAAATCAAATCAGCTATTTCCACACAACCTAAACATGCTAAAGAATGTTATTTTAACATTTGATTCTCCAAAGAGGTAGAAATAATCCCCAAACTCAACGTCAGATCTTCAAGAAGATCACCCCCTCCTCACCACCAAACAAAAGAGACTTTTGAGAAGAACGCAGAAACTCTGCAGCACTTCCATTCACTAAGCAAATCCAAATGTTGAGGCAACTCATATAAGCAGATCTGGCAGAGGCACGAAAAGCAATGCAAAGGTATGTTCACAGTCATAACCCATAGCCCTATTTTCTGTTAATGGCCTTTTAACCTAAAAGGCGAAACTAAAGCATTTTCTCAAACTTTCTGGGTGTATTTGTGGTTTTGATATCGTAGGATAGCTTTGGAGCTAAAAAGAAGTCTTTTCCCCCTTTATAAAGTGAGTAAAATAAACAAGTGACTGTAGACTCCCATTCAAGAGTTTTCCATTTAGAAACATACAACTGAGAATACTATAGAATTGCCCATAAAAGCAACACAAACATAGCAATAAAGCCACCGCTATTTTGTAATCTATAAGTCACTGCTCATAAGAACGCCATAATAAAATGTAAAATGTGTGTGCAGGGAAGGGGTTAATACATTTTATGTACAGATTAATGAACAATCTTCAAATACCTCAACAAGATCCTTCCTTGGTCTTAACTTCAGAAGTGGCTCACTTAGACGAATGGAACACATTCCACCTTTTCCTTCATAGCTACATACTCCTGCACAGCTGAAAGAGATGCAGAAACAAAATATAAGTTACTTGATTCTGTAATATATGAAGAAAATTGAAAATCAAGAGTTAAAATGCTTGCCTCTTCCAATACATGCTAAATAATTTAGAATATGAAAGACTGTTAGAAGCTACTCGAAGAACTCAAGTTCATTAACCAACAAAAAACAAGCAAATTCTTCAGAATAAGCTGTTTGCGCTACTAGAAGCTCAACTGTAATTTATTAGATGTCTTACAATCACTTAATTCAAAGCTAACAATCCTGAAAAATCACAGTAGAATGCTCCAAGCTCATTTGTTCATGAGGTAAATTAGCGTTCTCATTCAGACTCCAGATGGAGTGAAAAACATAAAACAGAGGCTGCTCTTTCACAGCAGCCAACACTGACCTAGCTGCTGGTTGCTGCAGTTCAACCCTCAGCTGCACACTCTCCCCTGCACAGCCGCACAGTTCTGCCTCTTACTGGACTTTTACATGGTCACTTCAGCACAGTAATACAGCAGAAAACATTTTGCTGTTGTTGCATTAGTTTTCTGTAAGCACAATATACTCAAATATTTCCAAATGTGCAAAGAGCACTGCAATCAGCAAAGGACAAGGAGGGGGAGGGACTCCAACATCCTGCAACTGTATCAGCTGATCTGCTGCAGAACTGCAACCTGCTTTTATCTTTTTTTTTTTTTAAGTCTACTCTAAATCTTGTTAACATGCTCTTATGCATTTATTCACATTTGCCTTTCTACTATGCTGTAAAACTATAAAAGAAATTCAAAATAGCAACAAAAAAACTCACCAATATAAATATGTTTAAGTAAGTTTTCAAATACACAATTTAAGACCAATTTATTTATTCCACTATAACAGTTTTGTCTGCACACTGAGAAAGCCATTTATGGTTGCCCAAGCTTACAAATGAAGGACAAAATAGATACCAACTGTGACAGATCCACATCCTGGGCAGAGGTACAACCTATGTTAGAAAAAACAGGAAACTCCAATACCTAGAATTTAAGCTGTGGAACTGGTAAGTGTAGTCTACTAAGACATAGTTAGTAACAGCATATAGTGACAAGCGACTGGTCGGTTTTCCTCCTTTCCCCAAAAGTCTAAGACTGTATCGTGAGATGAATTATTGTTTGCTTGATCAGTCACAACCTTTTCCAAAGGCTCAGACACAGCAATTAAGAACTGCTTGGACTGTTCACGAAAAGCATCGCAGCTCACTCATGACAGCCTAAGTCTCTGCCAGTGGGAAAACTGACGCTAGTGAAAGCGCTTCACCATGGCTGCTCTAGGGGCTCAGGAAGGACCGG